TGTATGAATGTCCTCTTTCCCATGCAAAGAAGGATACAGGCTCAGAGACATAAATTAACCTGCCTAAAGGCACACAGCTGGTAAATGGCAAGGGCAGAAGTCATGCTAGGAGTCTCTGGCTCTCACATTGGTGCTCTTTCCTCTCAGTGGTAGACACAAAAGTGCTAGTGGTCTTGGCATTGTGCTCTGGGATCTCTTCCTCATCAGCACTCTCTCTCCTGCTGGGAGCCCCTTGTGTTGCTGTGGTAGGAGCTTGGTTTTGAAGTTCCTCCCTTCCCAATCCTGAAAAGGTCTAATTTGTTTTTGTGGAAGGATTTGGATGCCAAATGCTCTAGCTTTGGAGAGTCTGGCAACAACAGCCCAGGATCCTGTCTGCCTTTTTACTTAGTACCTACATGAGCAAACAGCCACAAGAAGGAGGAGGAAGGGGGAAGAAGAGGAGGAAGAATTGAGGAGGGGAGAAAGGAGGAGAAGTGGAGGGAGAGAGGAGAAAGGAGAGGATGAGAGGAAGAAGGGAGAACGGAGGAAGAGGAGGAGATGCTAAGAGGAAGGAAAAGGCTAGAAGAGTAGAGAAGGAGGAGGAAGGGAGGAGGGGAGGAGGGAGGGAGGAAGAAGAGGAGGGGGAAAGAAGGAGAAGTGCAAAAAGACATTCACCACAGTGCTGTGTACCTTGGAGAAAAGTTGAAATCCTGGTGGACTAGGAGCCGCACTGTGGAAGAAGGCCTGGGCCCAAAGAGCTCGCCACAGGGCTGGCTCCATGGCCAAGGCTCACGCTTGTCCTAAGGCTCTACATCTTTGTCTTGAAATGCTTAATTTTGTCTTTGAACATAGATTGTTTTTTATTTTATATGTTTGTTTTGCCTGCAGGTATATAAGTGCATGTAATGCTCATGCCTACAATGCCTGTGGAAGCCAGAAAATAGAGTCAGATCCCCTGAAACTGAAGTTATGGACAGTTGTTAGTTGTCATGTGTATGCTGGGACCCAAACCTGCATCCTCTGCAAGAGCAGTCATCTCTCCAGCCACCACTTCAGAGCCTTGCACAGCACTATGTCCTGACTTTTGCATTAGGGCCCCACATTTTCTTGTAGCCGTGGCCCCCTGAATTACAGACCTGGTCCAATGGGAGACAATGAGAGAGGGCCCTGACCTGGGAGCTCCAGGGAGTGAGGGGTTATCCTCAGGGTCCCTGAGATTCTCTGGGCTCTGCAGCTTTATCAACTTATGTCCTCATTAAAATGGAAAGTAGAGAGCCAGAGCCAGGTGTGGTGGTGAACACCTGTAATTCCAGCACTTGGGAGCTGAGGGCAGCAGGATCAGGAAGTCAAGGTTATCCTCAGCCACATAGTAAGTTTGAGGCCAGCCTGGGCTACATGTGACTCTGTCTTAAAAACAACAAAACAAACAAAGGGCATTATGTTCAAACGACAATACCCAGAAAAACCTGTACCCAGAAAAAAATGTCAATGAAGAGAAGCCGCACAAAGAGATGACTGGAGGGATGGCTCAGAAGTTAAGAGCACTGGCTGCTCTTGCAGAGGACCTGGGTTCGATTCCCAGCACCTACATACCGTTTCTTCTGTAACTCCAGTTCTAGGGGATCCGACGCCCTCTTCTGTCCTCCGGGGGCATTGCACGACACAGATGACCTTTAATACATGCAGGCAAAACACTCATATACATACAATATAATATTTTTTTTAAAAAAAAGGAAGAGGGGGCTGATGGCTCAGCGGTTAAGAACACTGGCTGTTCTTGCAGAAGACCCAGGTTCGAATCCCAGCACCCACATGGCAGCTAACAACTGTCTGTAACTCCAGTTCCAGGGGATCCGACGGCCTCTTCTGTCCACTGCTGGCATTGCACCGCACGGGTGTACTTACCTACATGCAGGCAATACACGAATACACATAAAATAAAAATAATAAATAAATAAAAGAAAAAAAGGAAGAGAGCCTGGGTAGTCGCAGAAACGACTGACAGACGGAAAAGTCTGGTGACACTGCTCATCTCGGCGCGCCTCTAGATCTCTGTAAGGTATTTAAGTTCCTAAGGAGAACACGACTCCAGAAGCCAGCTTTAAGGAAGCCAAGGAGAGTCAGCTAGGAATAGGCTCGGCTTTCCCGGAAGCAGCCAAGCAGCCGGCAGGTGCGGGGGCGGAGTCTCATCAGACCACACCCTCCTCCCCCTCTGCCCCACCTAGGTCACCCCTCCCTTCAACCTATGCTCCGTTCCTGCCCTCCCGGTCCCCTCCTAGTGACTGAAGGAACCCAAGCGCGAGGCAGGGCACCGCAAGGCTGGCACATCTTCCCTGGGCTGGGCAGGGAAGGGCGTGGCAGCACCTCCGAGCCCTTGCAGCTGCCAGCCAGTTTGCATGAGTGAGCTCCAAGATATCTGAGCTTCTGCCGCCCCCAGACGCAGCCACCAGAGGCCTGGAAGGAAGGAGAGATCAGAGGAGTTGCACACGGAGCAGAGAGGCAGGTGGGAGGGCTGCGAAAGGGGAACAGGTGGGAGAGGGAAGGTGAGTCAGCTGTAGCAGAGCTCAGTCAGCCAGCCCAGCTTGCATCAGAGCAACCTGCACCCCAGCAGCCTGCATGGAGCCGTCAGTCCAGGCCCTCTTGTACCCGGAGTCTGCCCTGGCCTCAGACGAAGTCCTGGCTTTGGGTTCTTGTCAAGCCTCTCCTGTGTTCACCACTGTGTTGCATGTGGCCCGAGAGATGGAAGGGGTTGTCTGAAAAGACATAGCTGTCACAGGAGTCTGTGCAAGTGGCAAACTGGTGACAGATGTTTCCAAGGGGACCTGGGATGGCTCTATGTTGCTCCTAGGGTGGATCTCAACTCATGTTGAGATCCCACAAGGGCCTGCAGAGCTGGACAGAAGGATATCTTTGGGGAGGTATCCAAGTCAGGGGCAAGACTCCAGGGTGGTTCCCATTGGCAGAAGGGCCACTGGGACAGTTGCAGGGGCAACTGAGCAATTGAAGGGTTTTGAACGTTTGTTTTGTTTTGTTTTGTTTTGTTTTTCTGACTGAGGGCTCCTTTCTCCATCCCTCCTCCAGTTCTTTGAGATTGCTAAAGTCATCAGTACACTTGGAATACCACGCTGGGGAAAGAGGAAGACAACCCATTACTGTCCCTGAAGGATGGGAGAGGAGAGAGTGAACCCCTTAGCTTCTGATAATCACCTGGTACAAGCCAGTCTTTACTTGTCGGGCAGATACCTTCATCTGTCAAATGAGACCACAGTGTTTGATCTGCCTCTGCAGAGAGATGCTACAGTCAGTTACCTGTTGGGGGCCTTGGATCACAAGCTAGCTCTCTCCAGAAAAGTGGCCTCAGGTTCCCTTATGAAACTGTTAAGCATGTAGGATATGCAACATTTACCCCAATGGCAGCTTTGTAGCCAGTGCTGGTGAAGTATGATCATTCACAGAGGAGCCCGTCACTTCACAGTAGGTAAGCTTGCCGAATGAGTCCCTTTATATCCTGAGCTAGCTGGACCTTGGCCACACATCAGGTGCTTTGTGATTTCCTGCAGCCTGGGTGCTGGATACATAGCCAGCACGTGGGGTGGAGTGCAAGCTGAAGGCAGTTCCTCAAAGGGCGTGGGGTAGCTCACCCAGCAGAGCCATGCTTCCCCTGCTGCCAGGCCCTCTGCCCTGACTTTCCACTCTCCCAAAAGATGGGGCCTAACCTCCCCCCATTGCCTTACATCAGGTGACCTCCTGGTGACCTGGATTGGCCAATGGATTGCGTTGGAAGTGATGTTGAAGTTGAGGCCTTCAGAGACCTTACAGAGCCTGCTTCACTCTTAGATTCCTGCCCTAAAGGAATCTGATGAAACCCATGGGAGGAGGAGTGGCCAAAATCCCAACTCACTACCAGACCACCAGCCATCATGTGGATGAGGCCAACTTGACTCTTTCCCCCAGCTGGCATTCCAGCTAAGCACAGCTGCCCCTCTGAGCCCAGGAGAAATCAACTGCGAGCGCTCAGCCCAGCCACAGGAACTTGAGGAAGAATGGACAACAGTGTCCTGAGTGTGGGGATGGCTCTTTACACAGCACAGGCCATGGAAGCCCAAAGGAGGGAAGGACCTGCAAAGATACCACAGCAAGGCAGAGACCACATCTGGCCTGTCACCAGATTTCCAGCAGGTTCCTGGAGCCTTTCACACTGTGTATCCTGCAGACTACCTGAGTCAAAGCTTTGACTCAGACCTAGGTTCTCAGACAGAGTGAAACCCTTGGTCTCTGACAGTCAGTCACCTGGCACAAGCTAGTCTTTAGTTGTCAGACCCAATATCTTCATCTGTCAAATGAGATCACAGTCCTGTGATGCCCCACCCAGGGTCTTCCATTGACTTCTGGGTGGCATAGGTCCCTGTGAGGGAACTCAGTATCTCAGAAAGGGGTGCGCACCCCTGAGATAGTTCAGTATCAGCAAACACGAGGTCCTAAATTCATCCCCAGCACCCATGGGGAAAAAGCTGGCATTTGGTAGAGACAGGCAGATCCCTGGGGCTCTTTGGTCAGCTAGACTCACCTAATCATGAGCTCTAGACCAGCGAGAGATAGTCTCAAAAAAACAAGGTGGATGGCTCCTGAGGAACAACACTGAGGTTGTCCTCTGGCCTCTACATGCATGCTCACACAAGCACAAATAATGTTAAAAGGGGCCACACACAGACACACGCTCTCTCTCTCTCTGTGTCTCTTTCTTCCCCTTCCCTCTATCTCCACCAGCCTACCCTTAGTGGACCATATGCTTTATTAAAAATAGTTACAAATGCCATCATCAATCTGGGGACTGGAGGAATGGCAAGGAGAGAGGGAGGGGGTCCTCATCCCTCCTGGGATCCTCCTCTGTACCCAAACCCAGCACCACCCAGGGCAAGGGGCCAGCCAGCTGGGCAGGACTAGAGCTGGGCTGGATGTGGGGGAGGTACCCAGAGAAAGTTTCTCCTTGTCTCACAGGTAGAAAACGGGCAGAGGTGGACTGGTGTCTCCATCTCCTCCATTTATAGATATTTACAAAAGTCAAGAGCACAGACCACAGTCATGCAAAAGAAATGCGCCCCTCCCCCTCCCTAGACCCACCCTGCCCACCCAGAACCCAGTGATGCCCCCCCCCAGTAGTCCAGCCGCCTTCCTCAAGGTCCTGAGAGCAGGGGGGGAGCGCATCCTTGAAGGGTCAGCGGGGAAAGGGTGGAAGGTCTAGGGGTCCAGAGCCACCCCTGGGGAGGTGCTGGGGGGCTTAGGCCAACAGGGCAGAGTACTTGGGTCCTTCTGAGTCCTGGACTATGCAGGCAACAGGAAGGGATTCCCCAGTCTTTGAAACCCCCACCTTCCTCCAGGTCCACGGAGCCAGGGTCAGCATTGTCCTGAGAGCCGAGGCAGGTCTGGCATCCCACCCCTGAGGCTCTTTCCGGAAGTGAGGAGGGCAGGGCCTGGAGGTCAGATGGCAGACTCCCTGCGGTAGGAGATGTTGTCCAGTGGGAGGGTGGCTTGCATGCGCTCCAGATCCAGGTGGCTGCCAAACTCAAGCATCCGGATGATGCCTGCCTCCTCCTTGGAACCCGCCTCCAGTCCCAGGCCCGCAGCCACCGCAGCCGCAGCCGCAGCTTCCTCCTCCATCTCCTCTTCCTCCTGGCTCATGAGAGCCAGCTCGTTTTCATAGCAGAAGGCACTGGGCGGGGGCGGCGGGGCAGGCAGAACCGTGATCTTGCTCTCCTGCAGCTCACGGGCAGAGCAGCAGGGTGTGCCAGCCACCTCGTAGGTCTTGTGGAAGCGAGAGTAGTCCACTTTGTAGTGGCTCTTCTCCTCAAAGACCACAGGCTCAAAGCGGTGGCCCCACAAGATCTCACTGGCCAGGTAGGAACTGCGGGCTTGCGTGGTCATAGCCGTGGCCTCCACCATACCCTCTAGGATGACCACAATCTCGAAGTCCTCCGACTCCAGCTCCTCCTTGCCCATGCCATAGAGGGGACTGTCCTCGTCAATCTCGTGCACGATGATGATGGGCGACACCAGGAAGATACGGTCCAGACCGATGTCATAGCCCACGTTGAGGTCCCGCTGGTCCAGCGGCAGGTATTCACCCTCCTGGGTCATGTAGGGCTTGATGAGCTGGGCCCGCACGTGGGCCTCCACGATGTGGCTCTTACGCAGGTTGCCCACGCGCCACATCAGGCAGAGCTTGCCGTCTCGCACCGAGATGACCGCATGATGACTGAACAGCAGCGTCTGTGCCCGCTTCTTCGGCCGTGCCATCTTGGCCATGATAGTGCCGATCATGAAAGAGTCGATGACGCAGCCCACGATGGACTGGACGACCACCGCGATGACAGCCAGTGGGCACTCCTCTGTCACGCACCGGAACCCATAACCTATGGTTGTCTGCGTCTCCACTGAGAACAGAAAGGCTCCCAGAAAGCCATTCACATGCATGATGCAGGGCTTGGGGGCCGTTGGGACTGCCCCTCCATTCCCCCCTGGACCCCCCGACGTGGGCACCGAGGGGCTGGCCTCCAGGTCACCGTGGAAGAAGGCGATGCACCAGAAGAGGAGGCCAAAAAAGAGCCAAGAGACGAGGAAGGCGGCAGAAAAGATCATGAGCATGTAGCGCCAGCGCGTGTCCACGCAGGTGGTGAAGATGTCTGCCATGTAGCGCTGGGACTTGTTGCTCAGGTTGGCAAAGTAGACGTTGCATTGGCCGTTCTTCTTAACAAAGCGGTTGCGGCGTTTCCGCCGGGGCACATGGGCCTGCCCGTTGCGGCTGTGTCCGTGCATGACCTGAGGCCGGCGTGGTCACCTGGGGAGACGCAGGGCCTGTGGAGCAGAAGGGACAGGTGAGGTGCTGGGGAGCGAGGGGCTATTGAGGGAAGACCCCCTCCCCAGAGACTCTCAGGACCAGAAAAGCCCACACAGGAGCTCAAGATGTGACAGAGAGGGTGGTCCTGTGACCAGGCCTAAGCTTGTGGCTGACCCAACCTCAAGACCGGGGTCTGCCCAACCAGGAAATGAAGGCCGCCAGAATCCAGGTCCTAGTCCCTGGTGCTCATTGTGGCTCTTACAGCTATTCTTTGCTACTGTTCTGGAAGTTTCTTGATATGCATCATCTTTTTCATTTCAGTTTATTATTGTTGTTGTTGTGGGCCCGAATATGGCATGGAGTCCTTGTCTCTTCCACTGAGGAATTGAACTCACACCAGTAGGCCTGCATAGCAAGCACTTTTATCATGCCCATTTACCTACCTGGACTTAGCCTCCACACTGGCCACCTGGAGCTGTTTCTTGCCATTAAATTTCTCTTTTGCACTAGCCTTGCAAATGCTCAGAGCTCTAGTGGCTAATGGTTACCACTGGGTGAGGGACTACAAAGGAAGACTTAGGCCTTCCCCATCTCTTCAGGAAGTTCCCCTGGACGGTACTAGGGTCTGCTGCCCCACATCTTCATCTGACCTCTTCTCTTGGATCATCTCTCTCAGGGTTGCTATGAGCCACTGATCCCCAGATTCTTGTCCTGTCCCCAGGCTTGCTGAGAGCAGGGCAGGGACTGCCTGAGTGTTTGGTGTGATGATCAAGATGGAGGAAGAACCCGGAGCTTTGGGCCTTGTTTGGGCACCACTATCTACAGTGGGCTCAAAGAGGGAAAATGGACTGCTGGAAAGAACATGGATCCAGATTTGGGGGATGCGGGGTGTAGGGGTATGTCAACATCAGGAGAACTCCTGTGTGAAGACTGGGTGTGGGTGAGGCAGACACACCTCCTGTCTCCTACCCACCTCAGACCATTCAGTTTCCCTCTCTGAGCCTTGACTTCCTCATCTGTAGAATGAGGATTAAAATCTCTACCTTATGAGACCTCAGGAGACAAAACTCAGTCACCCTTCTGCTTCCCACTTCCTGGGAGCCTGTGAGGGGCATGCAAGCAGGCCTGGCCAAGGTCGCCAGCTGTTTCAGCAGAGGCATGTCACCCCCATATGGCAGGCCCACCAGCTGGACTCACAGAAGGCAGACTCTCAACCCAGTGCTCCCTGCCATTGAGGCCCTAACACCAAGTTGATATTGCCTCACCGCCCCCCCCCCCAGGCTGGCAGGGCCAGGACAGGGCCTGGCTTCCTGATAATATTTTGGCCCAGAATTATATAAGGCTGGAAGCTTCTATTTTCTGTTCTATTCTTCCTGGTCTAATTGTGCATCTGCGGCAATGTTTATACACTTCTCTGGTTCAGGACAACTTGGTTGCCGCAGCAACCGGTGCGCGCCAATGCTATAATTTAGAGATCAACAGCCTGGGAGCCTGCCTCTTCCCTTGCCTCTTCCTCGAGTCTCCCTTTCCCCCTCCCTCACAGCCACCCTACCCGACCCTGCTTCTCCCTTTCCTGCCCACCCCAAGAGGCTCCCTGGGCTCTGATTCTGGGCTAAAGTCTCGGATCTGCCCTGTGATGGGACAAGTCATAACAGATTGAACCTCAGTTTCCTCATCTGGGACAAGAAACCAGTGAGCTGAACAAGAGGAATATCCATCAGGCTTTGTAGGTGTGGCCCCAATGCTATACTGGTCCTTCAAAGCTCCAAACTGTACCCCGGGTTCCCCTGATACGTCTTACTGAGTTCTTCAACTTCTCCATCAGCACCAAAGACATATAGCAGAGGAACACATGGTAGCCCCAAATTTAAGACCCTTGTTCTATGGCTGAGGCCAAAGAGGCCCAGAGATGGAAGGGAGCTGCTGAGGGTTTCAGAGTGAAGCAGGCAGGCCCACCCCAAAAGGTTGCTCATACCCACCCTAGTATTTAGAAAGAGAGCCTTTGGGGCCTTCCTCTCTGAAGGGGTCTAGGGGACCGAGGCCAGGAAAGAGAATATGCCAACCCCACCATGACAGGCTCTTGATCACTTTTTGCACATCTGCAAGAGGCAAAGGGGACAAGGCATGGCATGTGGGCCTTTGATGGATGCCACTGAGCTGTCCAAGGAATGTTCTGCCCAAGGCTGCTACCGTAGGATACAAGGGGCCCTTGGCTCTTGGTTGACAGGGCAGGTTCACCAGTGCTGCAGAAGCAGCTCATCCTGGGGTCCACCCACAGAAGGGTTCGGGGCAAATGACTGAGGGAGCCCCCCCCTCCGTGGCTCTAGGCTACTGGGGCCCTCTCTCTCAGCACTGCCTACAGCTCTGATTAGTGGGTGGAGGTGAGGGAGCCTCTGCCAGTCCATGGCCAGCATCGGCCCCGAGACTCTATACCTCCCCACACCAGACACTCATTCCTTGTTCAACACTCACTCCTCACCCTGTCCCATCGTCTGCCCCCACAGTCCCATGGGCCCCTGGGCATCCTCTCAAGTCCCCAGCAGTCTTTCAGCCCTCTCTGTGCCTTCCCCATGGTGGGTTCTTTTTTTTTTAAGATTTAATTTTATTTTTATTTATATGTATGTGTGTGTGAATGTGTGTCATTTTTGTGTATGTAGGGTGCCTGAAGAGACCAGAAGTGGATGTCAGATCCCATGGAGCTGGAGTTAAAAACAGTTATGAGCCACCTAATGTGGGTGCTGAGATCTGAATTCGGGTCCTCTGAAAGAGCAAGAAGTGCTCTTAACCACAGAGCCATCTCTCTGCCTCTCACCCATGGTGTTCTTTTTTTTTTGTCTTTTTGAGACAGGGTCTTCCTGTAGCCTCCAACTGGCCTGGAACTCACTATGTAGACAAAGCTTGTCTCTATCTCACAGAGATCCACTTACCTCTGCCTGCCAAGTGCTGGGATTAAAGGTGTGTGCCATCATGCCCAGTTCATGGTGGGTTCTTAAGGCTTTCCTATCCCAGTACTCAGCTGTGCATAAGTCCCCAGATCTGTCCCCTTGGCTACAGAGAGGAGTGACTGTGTGCAGCCCAGCTTCATGGAGCCCCTCATGGTGATGGCCTGCTCAGATCAGCAGGTGCTCTGGCCACTGTTGGCTCTTTCAGTAGGGACATGAGGCTCACCTGCTAGTGCATGGGCTGAGCACACAAAACTTTGCCAGTGGGAAGTGCCAGATCAGCATTGTTTCCACGTGACAACTGCATGGACGTGGCCAGGGTCTCTTCTGATCACACAGGGCTTCTGGGAGAAGGCACACAAGCCAGAGGGAAAGCTCAGAGGAGAGACACAGAAGGTAGGATGGGACACGATACTCCTCCTTTGAGTAGAATTTATTTTGATAAAGGAGATCCTTGTGGGTCCAGGCGGCAGCAAGACTCCTATCATAGACCACATTGTTCTGGAAGGCCAGTCTCCACCCTGCACATAGAATATGCACTGAAGGATGGGGGCAAGGGAGAAGGGAGGTTGGACCCCTCTGCAATGCCTTGTAGAAGGACCTCTGTCAAGTTCTTCCCTTTTTGGCCTTGGTGCCTTCCTATTTGTCCTCCAAGATTGCCTTGGGCTTTTTGATGTCACAGAGCTTGTATAAAACAGTAGAAACGGGGAGGTGAGGTGGCCCAGGGCTTCCCCAGCTTCAAGGGCAGTCTGCCTGAGCTGTAGGAATGGAGTCACCCCCTTTCTCTCAGATTGCATCCTGAGGTAGTCCAGTGGCAAAGGCTCTTTTAGGAAGTGATGTCCTTTCTTTCTTGGAAAGATGAAGTGACAATGCTATACATACTTCCAAACGTTCGTCCATTTTTATTACGTTTATTTGTGTGTGTATGGGGCACATGCAGGCCATGGCATGTGTGTGGAAGTCAGAGGACAACTTGTGGTCCTTAGTTTTCTCCTTCTACCATGTGAGAGGACCAAACTCAAGTTTCCAGTCTTGGTGGCATGCGCCTTTACCTGCCAAGTCATTTCACTGGCTATGTTTGTTTGGTTTTTTGTTTTTTATTTTTATTTTTTGTCTTTTTGAGACAAGGTCTCTCTGTAGCCCCAGCTGGCCCGGAACTCGCTATGTAGACCAGGCTGGCCTCAACTCACAGAGATCTGCCTGCCTCTGCCTCCCAAGTGCTGGGATTAAAGGTGTGTACCACCATGCCCAGCTCCCATGTGTGTTTTTTAAGACCTGGTTTCTGGTAGTCCAGACTGGCTTCAAACTTATGCAGCTGAAGAGGACCTTGAACTCCTTATCCTCCTGCCTCCCCTTCCCAGGTGCTGAGATTACAAGTATACACCATGCCCAGTACTTTTTTTTTTTTTTTTTTTGAGACAGGTAGTCTGGGTTGGCCTCCAACTCCCAGAGATCCACCTGCCTCTGCCTCCTGGGGATTGGGATTAAAGGGATGCACTACCATGCCTGGCCTTTTTTTTTTTTTTTTTTTTGAGACAGGTAGTCTGGGTTGGCCTCCAACTCCCAGAGATCCACCTGCCTCTGCCTCCTGGGGATTGGGATTAAAGGGATGCACTACCATGCCTGGCCTTTTTTTTTTTTTTTTTTTTCATATTCTATGAACACCCAAAATCTAGAAGCACTTATTCCAAACTTCACCGTACAAATGCAGTCAGAGCAGATTCAGGGGTGACACAGCAATTCAACCGCTGCCAGTGGAAACTCAGGCCTGGGGCAGTGGGAGGCATGAATGGACCCACAGGACTGTCATGACTGGCCTCATCCCTGTTCTGTCCCACATCCTGAGGAATTAGAAGATCTTACAAACCTGCCCTCCAGGGGACCTGGAGTTTAGGTAAGAGCACCCTGCTCCTGCCGTTTCTTAGGTTTTTCCCTAGGATTTTTAGGGCAAGAAATGTCCTCTACCCACAATTCCCTATGTGAGAGGAACATGGTAAGTCTCAGTACCCAGTAAGCTGAAGGGACAACCATTTCCCCACCCCCACCCCCACATCCTGGCCACCTGTGACAGAGTG